TAATGAACACTGCTACCGCTGCTGACTGTTCTGAAAGGGATCACAATAGAGGGTCCTGAATAGAGTGGAGAAAAATGCGGAACAAAACTGAAAATCATAAAAATAAGATTAGATTTACTAGTCTGACAGCGATTGGTGGAACTCCTCAGACTACGATCCCTGGTCACTTTTCAGAACTGAAACTGAACTCACCACAGAAAGGTCTGTAGGATGAACAATAACACTGGGAAGTAATGCACTCCTTAGAACAATTAACCTTATGAGATCAAAAGCACAGCTTTGAGCCTGGGATAAAGCTCCAAAGGTCAGAATGGATAGGAACAAAGGCAGGAGAAAGAGTGCGGTTACATGTAGGGACGGGAGTCAATGTCCTGAAACAAAGTGTATAGGAATTGTTGAGTGGAAATCCAATTTGCTCTGTAAATATTCACTCACATCATGACAATTTAAAAAAAAAAAAGAAAGAAGATGAAAAAAGTCCTGCTTACAAACTGATGACTAGTTTGATAAATCAAATATTCTGATGGGTACTTGTAACCTCTAAGACACCTTCTTCTGAACTATGCAGTTGGGTTACGGAGGTTAAGTTCTATCCCATCACTGATTACATGTGGAATGCCTTACTATAAAATAAAAAAAGATGTTCCCTTCCTGACGTCCCTCCTCCCTTTGCCCTTGAAACCACAAAGTCAGCCTTTGCCAGCTCCCTTACCATGTGAGGTTGGCACCTTGGAATGCTGAATCCACATAACTCGGTTCTGCTCACCACTAAAGCAGATTAGGATCTTAGTGCTTCATGCTTTTACACACATAATACATCCCTCTGGACAGCAGATTAAGGCCAGGTGGTTATTGTTTTTAGTTCACAGATCCAAATCTTATAAAGCTTTCTCAGAAATAACACATAATTGCAGGCATTTATAATCTCCCTGCTCTGAGATAGAACAGCAGGACAACGGAAGTAAAACAGGGATATGGACACTTGACATTAACCTGAACCGAAAGCTGTTTAAGAGAAGATGTACTGGACATTATGAGTCTCCAAACCCATTACTGGGGAGGAAAATAACAGTGCATGAGGGTCAAAAAGGACCAAGAGCTCTCAATAAGAATAACAACCTGTTTCGAATTTTTGTCTGCAGGAAGAGGCAGAGGTGGGAGGGAGACAAGGGACAGAATGAAGGAAAAAAGATGATGCCACAGAAACACCAGGAGTCCTGGTGTGGAGCTGTAGCATAAGCATGAGACTGCTAACCACAAGGTTGATGGTTCAAACCTATCAGCCACTCCTTGGAAACCATATACATGGTTGCTGTTGAGTCAGCACTGACTTGATGGCATGTAACAACAACAAGACCACCACGTACTAGTAAGTTCTGCAGAACACACTGTTAGAACAAGAAACAAGTGCAAGTCTCATGTCACCGTTTATTAGGACTATAGCACGTGCCAAACAAAATGATACAGTATTGTCATTTCACAGTTTTAATAGTGAAATGAAAACCATGGAACATCTGTCTCTCAAATCTATATTGGGCAGAATTTCTTTGTTTCCTATTCTTTAATCATCCCACCCCTTTTTAAAGACAGAATTTTCTGGAGATCCTTTTGGACAGAAGTTCTGGCTCTCACATGACTGTCAGTCAGAGTAATGATTATGCCTCCTTCTCTGAGGCTCCTGAGGAATTACAGAGGAAATGCAAAAGATTCTACAAGACTTCTTTAATGTGAGGGGGCTTCAAAAAGTTCAAGGAAAAATTCCATTATCATTCAATTCCATTTTTTCCATGAACTTTCTGAAGCCTCTTCATACATATATGACAATACCCTAGAAGAGGGGTTTTTAAGCTATGCACTGATGAAAAGGACTGAGATTTTCTGCTGCTAAAATCAGTAATAATGATTGTGTTTTTCCAGTCTGTAAGGTATAGTGTGGTAGGGAGATTTTAATAATTCTCAGTTTTCCTTTATGGTGTCTGCTACACGTAAGTTGGAAGACATAAAATATTGAGTAGATATTAACAAAAAATCTTGAAAATAGTAAATCATACTTAGTTTGATAGGGTGGTTTTGTGTGTGTGGGGGGGGGGAGGTTGTGGTTCCTTTGTACATATGCTTGCGGAAGCTACAAGATAAAAGTCGCATTTTCTCCTAATATAACTACTCCACGTTAAAAGGTGGAATTAAGTATACCAATAGATGATGGAGTGCAAAGCGTAGACGAACTTTCAGGTGCTCTGCCACTGAGACTAATTTGAGAAACAAGCCTAGACCACTGGAAATTTCCAGATGCTCACAGCCAGGACATGGAAATATGAGGAGAGCTGCTAACATAACTTCTTGAAACCCATCTAGAATAAGTTCATCTTAGCCAAGATTCATCTCCTTCAAGTCTGTGTTTACATGTCATCTTATGAGCTAGCCCACAGATCATCTTATTTAAAATTATAACCTCAACTCCCCATACTCTGCTTTACTTTTTCTGTTTTTCATAGCACGTATACACTTTAAAATAGCATTTATTGTTGCTGCTGTGTGCTGCCACTGAGTCTGTTTGGACTCAAAGTGAGCCTGGCTAGGGGTTCTGAGAGCAGCTGGTGGGTTTGAACTGCCGACCTTGCTGTTACTTACTCTACAGTGCCACACCAGGGCTCTTACGTAACTTCTATTGTCTGTCTCTTGCCCTAGAGCATATGCTCCACGTGGACACAATTTTTGGTCTATTTGTTTGTGAATGTCTCAAGAGCCTAGATTAGTGCCTGGAAGGTGGGTGGTTCAAGGTCACCAGCTGCTCCTCGGAAACCCTATGCAGGGTCGCTATGGGTCAGAATTGACTCGATGGCACTTCACAACCACCACCATGCAGTAAATGTTTGGTGAGGGAGTGAACAGTGCACTATAGTTCAGTCATGGCTAGAAGTGTGTTAGTGACAGTCAGAGACAATTATCAAGTTGATACCATTACTACCCAGAAGAAGAACTGGATTTCTCCAGATCATGATCGTACCCAGGAGCCCTATAAGCAGAAATCTCCGCCTCACCCATGTGGTCCCAGGACAATCATTAGAGTTCTTTCTCTTCCTTGGTTCTCTAGAGGTCTGGCTAAGCAGTCTAAGATTACTGGATCTCAAATATGTTTTCAAGTGAGCAGGGTGCAGAATTGGAAAAGATCCACAATGTCGGCCTGATAAATTCCAAGACACCCAGCCAAATCAGCAGTTTCCAGGGGCAGCAGGTTCCGGTTACTCTCTCCCTCTATGGGGAGGGTGTAAATGTTAGAGGCAACTGCCCAGGCCAACAGACCAATGTCTGATTGCTTTCCAGGGAGTCCAAGCTCCAGGTACTGAACCTCTATTCCTGCTCACACCCCTTGCCTGCCCACAGCTCTACATAAGCACAGGGCAGGCCAGCACAAGCTGTCATGGGGGAAGCACATCTCTCCTTTCCACACCAATGAGGGAGAAGGCAAGCAAGACTCCTAGAACTAAACAATCATTCCAGAGCTCCCTCCACTGC